ACCACTGAGCCACAACCCCAGCCCCAACAGAGCAAGGACTTAAATGTAGATTTCTTACCTAACTTTACTGTATAAATCAATCCAATGTGGCAGTCCTGACATCAATGGCTATCAGATCTATATGCTAATCATGGGGCCATGGGTATATTGCGCTTCCCGGTGAGTCTGTGCCTGTTGGTTTCCTTGTCTCCTGGAGATAAAGCTATAATTTAAAGCCCAGATGCAAAGATGGTGCTTTAGAAAGAGGTAGGAAAAGAGCCAACTGACTTAGGTGTCTTTGACTAAGGGTGGGAGCAAGTTCTGTGCTTGAGCTTTAATGAACAGAGAACAAACATGAGGTGTTCACAGCATGAGCAACAAAGAGAGGGAATGTATATCTTTATTATTTACTTTTAATTCAACGTTTTCCAAGGGGATGAAAGGAACCTGTATCTTTTCCAGAAAATTGAATTTTGATCTCATTTTTTGGGAAGTCCTTTAAGGACCTGTAGACTTGTATTTTTGACATGGCTAAGAAGTGAATGTACTTTGAAAAAAAACCTCATTTTTTTAATAACAGGAATAGAGGGGAAGAAATGATGTCTTGGGACAACTATGTAGAATATCTAGCTGAGTGAATGGTGAAGTTACACATAAGAAAAAATACACATAAACTAGCATACTTGAATCCCTAACTTTCTTAGCTGTCTGTGGAGAGAGAACGTGTTTTGTTTTTCTTGGTTGCAGCAAGGTAGGGTATAGGTGCAGGGGTGGGGGTGGAGGTTGACGTTTATAAGATTTGGGGGTGGGCTGGGGATGTGGCTCAAGCGGTAGCATGCTCACTCGCCTGGCATGCATGCAGCCAGGGTTCAATCCTCAGCACCACATACAAACAAAGATATTGTGTCCACCGAAAACTAAAAAATAAATATTAAAACTTTCTCTCTCTCTCTCTCTCTTTCTCTTTAAAAAAAAGATTTGGGGGGCACACTTTAGGAAAAAAAAGAAAAAAATGATTAGAAAAGCAAATATTTCTTTAGCATGAGGAAAAGAATTCCAAAAAATAAAATTACAGGAAACTTGGGGATTCAGTTACCTTCCTTTGAAAATCTCTTCTGACAATTAGCTAGGAAAACAAATCAAAGCAAAACAAAACAAAAACAAAAACAAAAAAAAGAAAAGAAAGCTGAATTAGAAACTTTCTGGTTGCATCTTAAAGTCCCCACCCCTCTTAGAATATTCTGCAAGCCCAACCATTTTGTAGGGAGTCTGTGCAACGCAGTGGGGGACTTAAACTTCAGTAGATTCCTGGGGTGGGGGGTGAATGGGAAGTGAAGAGAATCATTAGAGGTGGGGGCACCAATTGGCCACAGAGAAAAGAACCTATGGTGTGGAGGGGCGGTTAACCACCTCTACCTTGGAAGCATCTTTGGACTGTGGAGAAGAAGATGGGGTAGCAGCTGCTGCCCAAAATTAGATCATATATTGAAAGCTGGTCATCTCTGCTCAGACATCTGTGGACCCACCAGCAGCTTGAGCTGGCCAAGGGCACTGTTCAAGCCCCTGGGACCTCTTCATCCCAGGCTTCAAGTGGTAAACAGATGACAGCATGTTAAGCCTTTCTTGTGTATGGCTCCCTTTGAGAATATAGGGAATTTTTCCACAATTGTGCAATAAAAGCTCCTCTCCTACTATTTCTGCTTTAGTTTAGAAGGAATGGGGTCTCCTGCTTCTTCACTCATCTTGGTCAGGTCTAGGTGAGGGGATATTGTCTCTTGGACAACTCCACTTACCTGCTTCCCACAAAGGCAAGAGGACTGGTTGATCTGACTTTTCTATATTCTCTGGGTAAATTCAGCGATTATAATGGCAAGAATCAGAGGTCCTGGTTTACAGCATATTCTCTTTTGCTCTTTCTATTTTTTGCATTGATTTCCTTATCTTTCTTTCCTAGACGATCTCTTTCAGTTGAGAAATGCATGCTAGGATTCAGGTCTGAGACCACCATTTGTATGCTACACACTCATAAGCACACATGCAATTTTAAATACTGTGTCAGGGGGATCACAGATCATTCTAAGAAAACCAAGGAGACTCACTTCTTAAACATCAAGGTGTCTGTAAATCATCCAGAGTTCTCGTTAGAATGTTAAGTCTGATTCAGAAAGTCTGGGGCTGGGCTTGAGATCTGCAGTTCTCATAAGTGCCCAGGTGATGCCAATGTATCCTTGGATCCTTGCTACTTAAATGTGGTCTAGGGACCAGCTGTGCTAGCCCTGCCTGGGCTCTTGTTAGAAATGCAGAGATTCTCAGGGTCCCATCTCAGACCCATGGAAACAGAAACCTAGCCACTCCTAGGTAACTGTTGCCTTCACATTTCTTCGCTCCCTCCCCCCCATCTCTCCAGGGTTACATTATATAAATGTTAAACAACTGCTCTGGGCAGGAGTTGGTTAAATTAGGAGCTGGTCAAGTAGGAAAATCGCTAATTTCCCCAAGGAGTCTCAGAGACGCTGCTTGGCAGCTGGTCCTCCTCTGTGAGTCGTTGGAGTTTGCAGCCGGGACCTTGTGCAATGTTTGTGGAAGGTAATGTGGCTGAATTAATGATGATGCAGGAGCCTTCGCAGAGGTGATTCTTGACTCTTTTAATTGCACCATTTCTCAACCCTAATGCTGCCTCACTGCCTTTTCTGCAGTATATACCCCACACACATACAGAGACACCCATATTGTAGATTAATTCTCCTGCTCAAACTGATAAACTACCTGACACATAATTTATACTCATTTATCTTTGCCTCAATCTAGCCAAACTCTTTTTTCTTCTACTCTGTCAACCAGCGTGCTTTGAGAAAATTAGTCTTTAGGCTGCATCCCTCTACGGTGCTCTTCACAGAAGTCCATTCAAAAGCTTCAGGAGGAGTCAGAGCTCATAAAGTTATGGGGTCTTTTCTATATTTCTGACTTTATCCTGATGGAGAGTCTTTAGCCCTCAGGATGCCTGAGGACTTTACATCTGAAAATTGTAATTTGTTCCATCACAAACAAAAGTTTCCCTCAATCTGTCCTCTTTCCCAGTCCCTATGGGACACATTCTTCCCCAGCTAATGCCTGTGATCCTGTCTGCCTCTAGACCTGGAGCCTCCAGGCTGGAAACTCACCCCTTTGACATCTGCCTCCATATTGGTTAGCATCCTCCTGCCTGGCTGGACTGGGAGTCTTTGTGTTGTCTCTCTCAGAACATCCCTTTCCACCCTGGTTCAGGGCCTGGAAGGACCCAATGTCTCATCAGAATCTAGATGTAAGGTTGAGCCTCCTCAAGGAACTTATGTCCCTCTTCAAGTCGCACCAAATGGAGTCAAGGGACATGGGGAATGTGAGGAGCTCTGTTCGTAACAATCCAGTGAGGACCTGAGGGACCTTTTATGATGAACCATCAAACTGTCGTAGCTTGAAATTGAGGGTTTGGATGTGGGGAGAAGTGAGGGACAACCTGGCTTCTTTAAACAGCTCAACTGAACACAGGGATCTGCACCTGGTTCCATGTTAAAAGAAGGTTAAGAACTGGCTCCAGCAGAGGGCCAAGGAGGTGTGAACATGGATATCAGTCCCCATTCTTTTCTATTGGACAAACCAAACACGATAACTCCCAGATTCCTTAGTAACCTCCCCAACTGTGGCAAATCATGGGAGAGAATCAATTATCATCTTGGGACTAGATGGGAGTCCATAGTTGGGTTTGTATGATTGGGGAATGGTGGAGATTCCAGAAAGAGTTGGTGGTGGCCAATTTGTTCTCTTATGGAGTCTAATGTCATGGCCAGTCAATTCAAACTGCTTGCAAAACTTACACCAAGTTCTTCCATCTCCTTCACCATTTGCTCTGCTGAGCTTCTGCTTAATTAATTAATTGCACTGTCATTTTTTCTTCCTTCCTTGGCTGCAGGAACTTTATAGAGACAGTGCTGAAACAATCCTAGTAGACCGTCCACAGATCTTTCCTACTGGATCTCAAGAGGGTCTTCATTGACCCTCATTAAGCCTCCTTCACCACTTGGTAAGGGTCCACTCCCTTGCCCTCTCAAAGCCCCTGGTTTCATTCCCACCTGTACCTTCTCAACTCATGTCCTCACCTTCTGCTTTATAATAATGAAGCTCTCCTGAGTAGGGCAGAGGGAAAAGGAGAAGAAATGCAAGTGGAAAGGAGTCAAGAAAGAACCTAGGGAGGAAAACAGAACAGGCTTAGGTGGGGAAGTGTATGCAGTGTGGAGTTCAAGAAGGATCTCCCTGATTTCGGGGCATGGGAGGAGAACACAATGCTAAGTGCTCACCGAGGCTCAGCAGCTGTCTGACCCAGCCTTGCGAAGCTTCTGTCAGCTTCACCCCCTCCCATGAATTCATGCCATCTCTGATTTAGTGAAAAATAAAGACAATATCTGTGGCAGAAGCTGGAATTTGCACATTCAAGCAACCGTTTATTCATCAGTTTTTTATTCCAGGAAGAGCCCACGATTTCAACGATAGCAAGGCCAGGGAAGACTCTGACACCTCTCACAACACAGTCAAGAATTCAAGATCTAATTTTAGAGTTGAGGAAGCACAAGGTGAAGTCCAATCTCACCCTTGGAACAGGGGAGACAGGTGTGAGAGTTTGTGGTGGCACCAGAGAGAATTGTGCTGACTGTGCATGAGATTGTAGGATTACAGAGAAAAGCTGGGTGATGGAAAGTCCAAACCCCAAGGGGTCATTCAAGGAAGTTTTATTTCTGAGCAGCAGCCCTCCAGGGAGTCCTGAATTCATTTGCACTTGCAATCAGAACCAACCTTTGCTTCTGGTTGCACCAGATGTCTCTTCCTTTTGGTATCTTTCTCCTCCTTTTTGCTCTCTTTTTCTGGCTCTTTTTTACCAAAGTCTAGGCAGAAAAACAGGAAACATGCTAAATATTCCAAACATAGGGAAAACACTCGGTGGAACATTGTGCAAAAGCCTTGGTAGGGCCAGGAAAGCTGCAGAGAGGAAAATGAGCTACACCAGAGACTGGAGAGGCAGGAAGCTGCGGCTGCCTCTAGGGCTGGAGGAGCCCAAGCAGGAGGTTCCGGAGCCCAGCAGCACCATGATGGCTGGCCCCGCTGGAGGGGGCAGCTGCTATTCAAAGAAATCACTGATGTGTTGTAGAAAGCAGCACGAGAACACTGGAGGCTACAGCTACCTGCTGATGCTGCCACTGCTGGATTTGGGGCCATTATTGGATCCTGCAGGTGATGTCCCCTGCTGTGCATTGCCCAGTTCAACCACTGCTGGGGCAGAGCAGAGCTTGAGAGCGCAGGAACGGTGCAGAGGCCCTGGGCAGTACTAGCACATTCCTTTACTGATCCATCTCTCAGTCTTACCTTCTCTTAATAATTAGTTCTTTTTTCTTTTTTTTTTTTTTCCTCTCCTGTTGGATTCCATTGGATATCCTTCATTGAGCACCCTGTGACAGGCATCAGGCTAGAATTGGGGGATAGGGCTGGTGGGTTCAGAAATACAACACCCACAACTGGTCCTCAGGGTACTTATAGATTAGAAATAGCTCTCTGAAGACCAGTAGAGCAGAGGAAGAATCCCAAGAGGAGCCAAGAGAGGAGAGAAAGGGGAGGTAGCGGGAATTCAGTCGATCAAATTCATTATGTACATGTACAAAAATATGTCATAATAAATCCCACTATTATGTATAATTATAATGCACCAATTTCAAAAAATTAATATCCCTCTTATCTTTTTGAGGGAGAATTGCTTCTGGAAACGGGTCCTTTCAAGTTGCCGCTATCTTTCCCTTCTGCTTAAAAACCTTAGGACAACATCTGACTGATTTGCTCAATCAGTAGACATGTACTGAGAATCTGTAACATACATTAGACTTTACTAGGGGCAGCGAGACTTTACCTTTGAGAATCTTCAATCCAATGAAGAGATACTTGCAGGACATGGCATAGTGCGCAGAATCGTATTGCAACAAGCTCAGGGGTTGACTTCTCAAAGGTTGCTTGTAGGACACACAGGATGCAATGGGGCTGGGCAGGGTCAGGACAGGAAAGAGGCTTATCCTGGATGCACAGAGTGAGAATGCATCTCAGAGAGGAATATGCAGCAAACTTAGGTGTGTACACAACTCGTCTTCTTGCCTCCTGTATGGCCGCCACCCTCATCAGCCTCTGAAATATGGAAACATCCAACATGAGGAGGCAGAAATGCTCACAGAGTTCTAATTCTCTCCTCCCATAGAATCTTGGTCCAATGACTTTGGAGCTTCAGTTTGTGACCTTGGGATATTGACTCCAGATCCTCATCATAGGGATCTGGAACATATAAATTCTTGTGGTTCCATTCTGCTCTCTGATCCAGGATCCCATAACTTACCTGAGACCTAGGGGGACACAAAGTTCTGGGGAGGAAAGTGGAATTCTTTCAAGGACCAGTGATACTTGGTCCTTTCTCCTTAGCTCACACGCCTATTCTATTTTCTTCTCTTTGCAGCAGCTCCTGTCTTGGAGATGTTGAGGCACTTGGAAAGACCTCCCCAGGTTTATTTTCCTGTTGAGGTAATTTGCAGGCTCCTAGGATACCAGCCAATAGTGTGCAGGAAGAAGTCCTTCCATATCTGTGTGAGGAAAAGCTGCCCAGCTGATGCACAGACCAGAGGCTGGACTGGGGATGGGCTGATCTTTGTGTGGTCAAGTTGGAGGGGATCATAGAAGGTCAGGACATCCTGCACTGACATGATCTACCCACCCCCACTCCCCAAGTCCATGGTACAGATCAGAAGACCAAGACCCAGAGAAGTGACAAGATTGACGATGTTAGTCGAACAGGACTCTGGGACAGAAAGACGCTGATGTCCCTGGTGGGTCCTCTTTCCAAACCCTGGTCTCCTTCACACTTCTAAATCCCTTCTCCACACTTCAGTTGAGGGGACCTAAGTTAATTTCAAGGGCTTTCAATGACCATTTGCAATTAACTGTATGGGAAATATCTCCAGCCAGTTAGTGTTGGCACATTTCCAGGGCTGTCACCAACCTGCTCTGGAGCAATCAGACTTAATTATCTTGTTGTCTTTCTTTTTTTTTTTTATGTTAATCTCATTTGTGTGGATTTCTGTAAACAATTAGGTAAGCAAAGACTTAATTCAAATGAAGCAATGCATTTTACCAACAACTCAAAATCTTTAAAAAACCTCGATTGAGTCCATCCCATAGTTGTTATAGGGCCTAAATCTCCTCCAAACCACTGGAATTATGCTTCTTGGGCAACCCTGAACCTCACTTTCCAATTTGTTTTCTTAACCAGCATGGGGCATACAGAAGAACTCTAGAAGGGACAGCCTGTGTTTTGTTTGAGTTTGACCTCTTCAGACCCAAGAATGAACTCACCAAATTAAACGAAACAACCATTTAATAGCAGGAATTGATGTCTGCTTAGGGAGACAGCAAGATGCAGCACAGCATTTCCAAAACGAGTTCTGTGGAGGATTAGCAGGTGTTTGGAGTGAGTGATGGTCATTTCTGCCTGCTTGACCATTCATTCTCCCACGAACAATAGCTTCCTGTTTTCTTTAGGGATAATTCCCTGGCGTTCTTAATCCTTGCTATTCCAGGGAGATGAGCTGTCACCACCCAGCTCTGGGGTATGGGGAGCTGCTCAACTGCATTGTCTGAGGGTAGTTGTTGGCTTGAGATAAGAAAATGATCTGGGCTGGGCCAAGGAGAAGCAACGGTGGGTGACATTTTCTGAATAGCTGTCTTTCTGCTGGTGGTACTAGGATGTAAAATGAGTTCTGGTCCCTGTCAGCAGCTTCATGAGAAGAGTCAGCTCCATGCCAGTGAAGGAAAACAGGAGAATGAGAGGGAAAGAGCAAGAGAGATGTGATGTCAGTAGTGGAGTTGATGCCTGGATTCTGCTTTACCCTCTGACTTTTCAGTGATTTGGCCAATGCTATAGTTTGGATTTGGTTTGAGTATGTTTCCTATGGCTTCCCAATTGGTAGTGATGGAAAGTGGTGGAATCTATAAGAGGTGGGACCTAGTGGAAGGTGATTAGGTCATTGGATCACTGCTCTTGGAACCATTAATGTTCTGTGGAATTCCAGTTAGGTTTTGAAACAAGGTTGTTATAAAGGAAAATATGACTCACTCCTCCCTGTTCTCTGGCTTTACGTCTCACCATGAAATCTCTCCCTCTCCCATATGCTCCTCCCATCATGCCATCCATCCTAGTGTGACACAACCAGGGTTAGGGGCCCTCACCAGACCTGGCACCATGCTTATTTGGATTTTCAGCCTCCAAACTCTAATCTAAATAAGCCTCTTTTCTTTATAAATTACTCAGCCTCTGGTATTTTGTAGAGCGATGCAAAATGGAATAATACAGCCAATGATTGGTGTATTTTCCCCTCCTTAATCCAATTTGACTTTCCTGTGTCACTTGCAACTCAAAGAGTTTTTACAGAGTACAGAGACAGGAAAGTTTTCAAGGTCGAAAAATTATGATTGAACTAACTTGAATTTCAACTGAAGCTCTCTAAAGGACTGAATGATAAAATCAAGGTAGAATTAATTGTACGAAAGAAATAATGATCATTTTACCTTTGTTCCTCCGTGGAAGCTCCGGGGCAGCCATAGTCTTTTTCTTTAGAATCCTTGAGAATTGGAGCAATGATCTCTCAACTGCTTTTCTCTTGATCCAGGGATAGCTTAGCTGTGCCCTGGTTACCTGGAATTTGCAGCCATGTGGCATGCAGAGCAAAGGGCATTGGGCCAGGATTCCTGAGGCTTTGCCTGTTTTCCCAACAACTGGCTGAGTGGTTTTGGGCTAGGCAAGGTGGCTAGGCTAATTTTGGCATGGTTCTCAGGGGTCCATTCAGTGATGCCAGTTTCTTCTTATGTGAGCCCCTTTTTAGGCCACTTTTAAGTCCTTGTGCTGCTTTTGGCCCATGCCAGCCTGTCCTTCAAGAGGTCTTTCACCCTTGACTCAAGTGAGATCCTAAAAACCCTTCCTGCAGCATCCTGTGTTCTCCAGAGCTCCTGGTTTTCCCCTTCAAAACCAGCCTGGCTTCAGAACATGACACCACTCTATGTCATTGCTACATTTAGACTTTTATTTCCCTTGGTATTTGGCACAGGCTCAAAAAAAAAAAAAAAAAAAAAAAAGATAATCACAGAGCTTTTGCTAGGATTAGGATCTGGTCTCTGGGAGGTTCTGTGGAGGATTTCAGAAAGTGGGTGCATGGAGGCAGATTGGAGTTATCAAGTGTACACTGGCTCTGGAAATGTGTGTGCTGGGGAGGGACTAGATAGCAGGCTTTGTACCCGTTACCAGACATTCATCACACAACTGAAAAGTGAGCAAGTAAAGAAACACTTGATGTGAATTTGAAGAAAAAACAAGAGGAGAGCTCATCTCGGGGCTCTTCCTCCTGGATCAACGCAGCCTGCAGCCTGGCTTTTCCTGGGGGAAGGGATGAACTTTTAGTCTTCACGTGTGTCCTATAGGGATGAGAGTGTTTTGCCCTTGACTTTGGTAGTCTGGATTCTGGGGCATCTGTCAGCCCCACTTTAAGTAGCACAGCTGGCCACCCTGGCTCTGCTCCTGGCTCTGAACATCTCTTGGGTCCGGTCCAACACATTACAGAATCAATAAATATTTGAATTTCATGCTTCCAGAAGCCACCGTCATGGTAAATGTTGTTGCTCAAAAAATATCACGAGAGGATAACAAAATCTTTCCTCCTCAGGACCCTTTAGTTACTGCATTATCTTTGGTCCTCCCATTGAATCATCAAAGTGTCTCTCCTGGCTTCAGCTTTATAAAAAAGGAGGAAGAACTGTTTTGGAGATTCTAGCCAAGAGTGTTGTATGTCTTTCCTGGAAAACTGGGCCCTCGGTAGCTGGTTTTCTAATCCAGATACTTGAAGGTTGGTATTCGTGCTATTTGCAAAATAGTGCTATTTTTAAAAAAAAAAAAAAAAGCACTAGTGCTATTTGCAAAAACAGCATATGCTTTTTTTCACTTCTAGAGCAGAGTAGAATTTTGCTTCCTGCCTGGCCCATTTGTGATTCATACATTCAAATGACTAGTTCTGATAAGAGGGCTAAGAACACAAGTGACATGTGTCAATTTTAGACTGGAGTATTTAATTGCTGATTTAATACCCTCTAGATACATTTTCCCTTCTGATATGGTGGTCCACAACGCTCAATCTGGTGGCTCCTCCATCAGCCTGAGTGCCTGAGTGACTTTAATAAACTGAGCCCTCTGCCATCCTTAGTGGAAAGACTGCATGGATAAAGGAGTACACTTTAATGGTTTGAACCCATTAAAATATTAGGGTTCAGTTGTTATTGCAGCATAAATCTAACCTTTTCTGACTGATACAAGCTCCAAAGCACTGAGACTTGTGAAAGGGACAGATTCCCACATGCTTCTTCCTTTCATCTACCTTAACCATCAATATAGCAATATAAGCAAGATATTGAAGTAGCAATATAATCTTCCCTTTGGGCTAAGAGTAGCTATTTTTGCACCATTGGGGAAATTTCTGATTATGTCTCCAGGAGAATCCTAGCATACAGACAAAGGGGCATCTTCCTATGGTCCATTGATGTTTTCTCCCCAGTTACTCAGGGAATCTTGCATTTCTTGAGATGGAAAGCACAGAAGTTGTCAATATCTCAGAACCAAGTGGAATTTCATTTACTCATTCTGGAAATGGGTCTGGAATAGGCTTGGGAAAAAGGCGTATGATGGGATGTGCCTGTAACATTCATCTAGAGTTTGTATGAGGACAAAAGTTCACCTCATGCTTCTCTAAGGAGGTTCAGCCTCTGAGTTCTAGCCTCTTCTGGCAGGTGGGAGGTTGAGGCTGCAGAACTACAGGAAGTAGGTGTGTGTGTGTCTGGGGATTTGGAAGGCCATGATTCCATGTCTGGGTGAGACAGGCTTCCCAGAGCATGGCTTCCAAGATTCAGGGGTAAGAAAGGTACTAACACATGGCAGAGGCTGGACTTTCTTTGGTTGTCCCAACATTAATCCCAGGCAGAGAGCAGTATCTAACCCTTTAACCTCACTGGTGGAGAGAAAAGCGTGGATCCCTCCATCCAGCATGGGAGCATCAGCAATCTGGCCCAGATCTCTGTGCAGATTACTATAAAGACACACAGGATGGACAAGGGCAATGGACCATGGATTTTTGCATTGCAGGAACTCATACCTTCAAAGCGACTTGACCACTGCTGTTGCACTCTCAGGCTATCAGCAGGGCTGCGGGATCTGACTTTCAGAATTCAATGCCAAAACTTGAAGGAGAAATTTGAAAGTATGCTTTTTCCTGTGGTCGACAAGGAGGGTGCACAGGTCAAGGGCAGTTGTCTTTTTTTTTTTTCCTGGTGGAAGTTGTCATTATCTTTAATTGGGGGAAGAATCATATTATCAACTGCTGGTTGATGAGGAACAGGAATCAGTATCCCTGTTCAGGGACATTCTAAGTCACATCCCTGCAATGACCTTTGCATCTGCTCCTCTGCCTGGCTCACAATCAATATTGCGA